CTTCCCTAGATGCAGCTCCCCAGCAGAGGGGACACTGCAGATATCCCAGGAGGGCTCTGCCACAGGTGACTGTCTAAAATAGTCCAAGTCCTGGGTACCATAAAACATTTGTGATCAGGACCTACCATACTCCCCCACCCCCCAGCCTCAGGACTTATATCCAGAGGGAGAAGAAAACCGTAAGGGTTTATAAGGAAAGGGTTTTTCACATATGTGTCAGCACTAGCAGTGCCATCTCCTAAAAACTGAAGCCAGAGCATTAAATAGCATGGCTGTTAAGCTTGTAGCATTTCCAGAGCAGATGCAAGCTGGAAAAACAAAGATGTCTCTTTAGAAAGCTACTTGTCAGGGGTAGCAACTCCAAATGGCTCCAGCCTCCTAAGAGAGGCTCTCTTCCATCCTTCCTTTGCATGGAAGTTTGATGTTCTCAGGGTGATGGTCCCAGTTTATATACACAAAGGTACATCTGTGCTGGTCTATCGTTGATCTGAGTACAGAATAGGGACCGGAGGAGGCCATCTGCCTAGCCACTAGAAGCATCTGAGGAGGCAGGAGTCTTGGGCTCTTAGGGACTAGCCAGGAACCCTGGAGAGAGGAAAGTCCCCCCAAGCAAAGTCACAGCCAGCCTTCACGCTGTTCACCTGAGGTAAGCTCCCTGCCTGCCCCATTCTACTACTTGGAATATATTTTTAGAATGTTTTCGTGAGGAATGCATCAGCCAATCCTTTATAGATCAGTTACAAAACAGAAACTCTTCCTTACTGCTAGAGAGAAGAGTTGAAGGGGGGAGAGGGGGTTAAAAAAAAAAAAAGTCCTGCCTGTAATTGAAGGCAGGTTGGGAGATGTTCATGCTTTGAAACGCTCCTTCTTGTGAAATGTTTATGAAACACTTTCCACAAACGAGTTATGCAACTGGGACAACAGCTTTGATCATTTTCATCACCAGTGATATATTCATTAGTGTTAGACTGTTTTCCCCCAGAGGGGGCTATGTGAAAATGTCATGGGGAGGGGACTAAAGGCAAGTCCCCCAACCCCACCGGGTCCCCAAAGCAGATGGTCAGTGAGGTCCGAGTGTACACCTGGGCCAGAACACCTCCTTTTCTGTCACCTCTTCTTCTGTCCCTGGAACATTTGGAGTATTGTTTGGTAGAGAGGGCACCAGGGGAAGGTCATTGTCACACTTTTACCAGTGCCTTGCTGTCTAAATTTGTATCTGGCTCTGGAGCTCCCTGGGTGTCTGTCCTCGCGCCTCCTGGCTGGGCGGTAAAGCCAAGTAAGAATGTATAAAGGGCTTTCAGCTCCTCAGAAGTTGCTCGCCTTCCAGAATGAGGCTTCTGCTTTCTAAAGTAGGTAATGTCAGAGAGTTCACAGGGATTAGAAAAGATAATCACCCAGATACCTTTTTACCTCCCTGGTCACTGCCCAAGACTCAGTCTAATACCTTTGCACAGCATAGTGGGTGGAAAAGATCCTAAACTAACAAGCCTTGTCTGGTAGGTGGACAGGACGTCCAATGGCTGTGACAAGGCACAGCGCTGGGGTGGCTTATGTCCCCGAGGCCACCCCGAGCAAAGTCTGGAGAAATATTCCACTTGCGTGAGAAGAGCTACATTGGAAACCCTGGACATGATCTTGAGGATTCCAGGCAGGCTGAGTTTTGGTTGGGTTTTCACAAGTACGGGGGAAATTGGGTTTTTGTCCAATTTGCCTCCGGTTCTCCCATTAGAAGTCGATGAGATCCAACAGAAGCCTTTCTATCTCATCTCCTAGATCCACAGCCCACACCCAGTTGCCTGGAAAGGTTCCAGGCTTTTCCCCTCAACAGCTATGCGAAGGGACTTTTTGGATTTGGGAGGACTTTATTTCTCAGGTTCTTAGTTTCTGTGGCCCTGAGAGTGTCAGAGACATCTCCTGGAGGCTTCGGCACTTGCCCGGTCCTCTTCCCTCCTTCCTCCCTAGCTTGGAGCTTCCCGAGGCTGTTGACCCAAGCTGAGATTTCAGAACTTGTCATCGAGAAAGAAGTCTCCTTGACTGCCTTTCAGTTTGGTGTGTTTAGGATTGTCTTTGGGGGGGGGGGCTACTGTCAGCACCTCACCCCCAGGAGTGATGAATTGTGAAAAATGAGAGTAAAAGGTCCACGGCGCCAAAAGAAGAAACCAGAAGAATCGCACATAGAGTTGTCAGAAAGCCCCAGACTAACACGCAAAGGACTTTTTTTGTGTGATAAAATACTTCCTTTTCACAAGGGGGAGATGGGGAGTGCCCCCAAACAAATTTGGAGGGCAATTGATCCAGGAAGCAGATGAAAGGGTGCGTTTTCTTTTATGATGGTGCTGGTTTCTGAAATTAAGTGTTGCAGGAAGATCTGGCACGGATTCTAACAGATAGCACAGGTTGGAGGCAAAGCACATGTTTTCGAGCTCTGTCATAGCTGCCTCTCCTTATCTCTCTCTCTATTGTGCATAATGAGTCTATAAAGGAACCCTGCCACTTGCCTCTGAGCTGGAGCTGGGCCAAGCTGCCGGAGGCAGTTGCACCAGCAGGATTTCACCTCCAGTTTTCCGTGCTCTCCCTCCGTACCCTGTCCTCCACCCTGCCTCCCCCCCTTCTGAGATGGCAGATGCCCTGGGGCAGGAGGGGGATAGAGGGGGGAAAGGTGGGGTCCGGAGGCTGTCCAGAAAATGTTTGCTTAAGTAAAATCTGCTTTTAGAGTAAAACCCGAAAGTGGTGGTGGTTTTGAAATAAGTTTATTATCTATTTCTACTTTTTGGAAACCTGCTAACGAATGTTTCCCTGGACTCTGGGATGTGGAAACTCTTTAATTTCTAGGGAAGTACTAGGCTGCCAGAGCTTCTTAGACAGAGGTACTTACTAAGTGTGGGAAGGCAGAGCCTGAGGAGCATCAGGAGAGGAAAGGGGGCTCCCTGGAGACCACTCCTGGGGGGTCATACTGTCACTTTCTGCCCCCATCTCTCTCTTTTTCTCCCCTTTGCTTCCAAGGCTGTTTAAGTGAGAAGAATGGTTTGCGAAGACTATTCCTGAAAGAACCATCTTCTTACCCATTTCTGTGATATAGGGCTTCACGTGGTGTTAGCTAGGTCTGTTTTATCTAAGAACGCTGCCGCAAACAAATTGGTATTTGTAATTCCATTTGAGGACTAACAGGGAGAAAAAACTTGCAGTACCATACAACAGATGGGAAACTGAGTCCCATAGCGGCTGAATGACTGTTTGAGACAACATGGTGGCCAGGCATGATAGCTCATGCCTGTCATCCTAGCACTCTGGCAGGCCGAGGTGGGAGGATCACTTGAGCTCAGGAGTTCAAAAACAGACTGAGCAAGAGTGAGACCCTGTCTCTACTACAAAAATAGAAAAACAAGCCAGGCATTGTGGCAGGTGCCTGTAGTTCCTGCTAGTTGGGAGGCTGAGGGAGGAGGACCACTTGAACCCAGGAGTTTGAGGTTGCTATGAGCTAGGCTGATGCTCTAGCCTGGGGGCAACAGAATAAGACTCTGTCTGGAAAAAAAAAAAAAAGACTACACAGTGAGTTAGAGTCAGAGGCCTGGAAACAGGGTCAACATAGCTCCCTGTTCAATGTTTTCCTTCCTGTACTGCATGGGAGACTATGGGGAGGGAGGTTTTACTCACATCTGTTATTCAGTTAACATTCATTGATTCATTGGGTTCCCACTATGGGAAAAGCACACATCCTAAATGTCAGCTCCCTCCCCAGCCTCCAGGGTTACTCAAAAGGATCTTCCTAACTGTTCTAGCAAAGTGTTTCTTTAAGGTACCATTTCCCCCTCCATAGGGATTAAGCACAACTATAGCCGTTAATCTGAAATTTTGACTCAGGTTAAATGAATACAGACAGGAGTGATTCCAGGGTTTCAGTGGTCTTCCCTGTGTAGACTAGGAAAGTTATTTAAAGTAGCCTGTCTATGGCCAAGGGTTCCCATCTGGACAGAGGACAACCAGATGTCCCAATCACAGGGCTTCACTAGTATCTTTTATAAGATGTTGTCCAGGTCTTGTGTTTCCTGCCATATTATATGACTTCAAAGTCACTTTTCTCAGTGGACTTCCTGAAAAGCTGCAAGAGGGCAGTCACCCTCAGGGAGGCAGGAGAGGTGGGCACAGGCAGTGCTTCCTGCCCTGCCCTTGGACACCTGGGAAGTTCATGAGTGGGTGGTTTGTGCTGCCACTGAAGGGTAATAGAGACTGGAGAGAGTTTGGAAACCACCAAATTCTCAGGCCCCTCAGGCTGCAACTGCAACATTGGTTGTGAGGGAGACTTGTCCCCACCTGTGGGAATATAGGCAAAGGCTGTCATCAAAGCCACCTAGGCAAAGATGGCCAGCTGCAGGGGTAGTTTAGCACCCAGATGATGGAAAGGGTTGGAGAACAAAGGAGAATTGGGAGTGAAAGATAGTCCTCCAGGTCAGTGGTTCCCAGACTCTGGGGTTTCACAGACAGGGTTCCATGCAGGAAAATAAAGAACAGAATTTGGGGGAAATCAATAAAGCATTGCCTGTTTTTTACTCTGCAAGGTCAGGAGTTTTAAAAATCTGCTTTAGGGTCACCATCATTTTCTAAAAGAAATTCAAACATCTCATCCTCCTAAACGGAAAAAAAAAGCATCATCTCATGATTTCGAAGAATTTAATCCGTTAAGCTTTATTTTTAAAAGTCACTATTATTTCAGTGAAGAAAGCAAAACCATGCTAGGTAGCAACACAGCCCCAGGATGGTGTTTGGATAGATCTAAGTGGGCTCCCTGTGTTGCAGATCAGCACCCCAATGAGTTTCTGACCAGATGCCCTGGCCTAGAGGGTACACACAGGCAGGAGAATCGGGCTGCAGCCCGGGAGGCCCTGGGCCAGCTCTTTTCTTTCCCAGCCTGTCACTCATCTGCCTCCATCTTCTGGCCATTTGCATTTCTGTCTGCCTGGGCAGATCCAGAATTGACAGTCTCCTCCTGCCTTCACTTGCAGATTAAAACAGAGGACCTCAGTGACTCCCTGCAGCAGACACTCTCCCTTCGGTCATGCCACCTGACTCAAGGTCCTGCCATGATGTCCGGAAACCAAATGTCTGGGGTAAATGCCAGCCCACGTCGTGGAACCCTGATATTCTCAAAAGGCCAGCGCATTTAACTCGATCTCTCTGTGAACTGCTAGACCTCCACACTTGGCACTGTGTGGATTCATATTGGTCCAGAGAACCCCCTGCAGGCAATGTGGGAAACGAGATTTGGAGGCCTAGGGGAGGGGAGGGGGTTCCAAAACGGTCCTCTTAAACGGTGAAGCCTGGCTGGGGATGTGGAGAAGTAGGTCTGCCTCTATTTCCCTGGGACAAAAAGGGACCAGTCTTGCCAAAATGAAGAAGCTAACAGCCATGCCGCTGGTGCCTGCCAGCCACGTTCATGGGAATCCTGCGAGGACAGCTACTGCTACTGCTAAGAACATTCCGACCCCAGTGGGCCCACCCTGCCACCCCCAAGGTTTTATGTCAAAACCAAACTAGAAGGCTGAGCTGTGGAAGACACATGTCCTGAGACAGTGACAGCAAAGGCCTGAGAGGCATTCACATGGCAAGCCCACTTCTTGGGAAGAAAGAGCCACCCCATCTCTGGAAAACCATTCCTTCCACTCCTCACTCAGTAAGGTTTACCAAGTCTTCTCTACATGCCCAGATCTAGGCTCAGCCCCACGGGGACACAGAGCTCTGGGTCATGGAGGATTCCCAGATACCCCAACACTCGCATTATTATTCCCATGTTCCAGGCTGGTGGAAGAGACCCGAGTAGATGGACTTTCTGTTTAACCAAATTGGTTTTATAAAGAAGTAATGGTTTCCTCCATCCTCCAACTCCCACCCCAACACCCCCTAGGAAAGGTTCAGGCGTAAGAAGTGGCCAAGGCATGGCTTTAGCTTAATCAACTGGCATGAAATTTTATAAAAACATTGGACAGCTGGGATTGCACGGTCATTTCTAGGATAAACCTTTGAAAGATGGGAAATACCCAGTCTCTGCCTTCAGGGCATTTAGTCTTGTTGGGAGACAAGACTAAAACACACAGATTAAATTATAAGGCAGGGGCTAAGTAACAATGTTGCAAGGACAGCTTGGCTGGGTGCAGAAGCTGTGACAACACCAACAATGATGGAATAGTTACTATAGGCCAGATGCTGGGGAGACACAGTGGCATAAGGCAAGGTCACTGCCCACAAACTCTTATAGTCTGGAGACCCATATGGGCAGCAGGCAGATGGAGCTAGTGTCCCCAGCTTGTACATTCTGTGATGTCTGTATCTTTCCGTGTGTAGGACATGGCTTCCCTGCATCCACTCCAGCAGCTCGTGTTGGTTCCCAGCCACTTACAGTCCGTATCCCAGTTCCTGCTATCTCAGACCCCACCTGGGCAGCAAGGTAAGAACCCTACAGGAGGCTCGGCGCCTGTGGCTCAAGCGGCTAAGGCGCCAGCCACATACACCTAAGGTGGCGGGTTCGAATCCCCAGCCCGGGCCCGCCAAACAACAAATGATGGCTGCAACCAAAAAATGGCCAGGCGTAGTGGCGGGCGCCTGTAGTCCCAGCTACTTGGGAGGCTGAGGCAGGAGACTCGCTTGAGCCCAGGAATTGGAGGTTGCTGTGAGCGTGATGCCATGGCACTCTACCCAGGGGGATAGCTTGAGACTCCGTCTCAAAAAAAAACCCAAAACAAACAAACAACAAAAAAAGAACCCTACAGGAGAAAGGGGTGTCCACTGCTGATGCTCACCAGGGAGGGGTTCACTGGGGAGGGGCTCACAGGTGAGTTGCTCAGCCCTCTGGTATTAAGACCAGCTTGGCCACCTCAGGGTTTGAGTAAGGGACCCCAGCAGTGCTCCTCTCGGCCCCATCTCCTTCTCCACATCCTCTTCCCAGCCTCCTGCTCAATCTTGTGGAGAATTGAGATGGAAGGTGCAGGAGTAGTAGAGGGCTGTACAGTACAAAGAAAGAGAAGCATCCTGGGAAACGCAGCATAGACAAGTCCCAATTCTTCGGAAATCGCTCCTGGACAGGGATTCAGACTCAGCTCCTGGAAGCCTGGCTGTGATTCTATTTGGATAGAGCAGTAGTGCCACCCACAGGTTGTAGAATGGGTTTTTGGGTTTTCTTTGGCCACGGAAGTTACTCCCTGGCCAAGAGCAAACAGATTAAACTATTAATAACAATAGCATTTCTTGAGCACCACATGCCAGGAGCTCTGCGAGTGAGTCTCCTGACATTTCTCAAAATAACCTTGTGTAGTAGGTGGTCATATTATGTCTCTGGTGACCTACTAGAGAGTTCATGGAGGACTCCCAGATGGCCCAGCACTGGCATTGTTATTCCCATGTCTGGGCTGGTGGAACAGGACAGTTTGACTGAGATCCGTGCTCGTGGCCATCACGCTATGCAGCTTCTCCCACTCCCATCTTCACCAACTGTGGCTGAAAGCGATGGAGAAGGTATAAACTCTCCTCTGTTGTACAAATCCCACATAGAAGCTTTGGAAATCCAGAATCCAAACAAAACGCAACTCTGCGTTCCATCCTAGCACCTAGCCAAATTATGGTCTTTGTCTTTATTTTTCAAGGCATCTCAGAATATTATTATGATGAATGAGAACATATTATTTGGCTTTTTTATAATTAATTATTGTTATTAAATCATAACTTTGTACATTGTACCCCATTTATGGGGTTCAGGGTACTGCTCTGATATACAATGTGAAATGTTTACATTAAACCAAGTAACACATTCATCACAATTATACTCATTTCTTAATAGTTTTGAAATGTACCATTGCATCATGCAGATTTGGTGAGGTCCCCCAGAATGCCCTCCCTTCTCCCATATCCCCTCTCCCCACCCTTCTCTCTCCTTTTCCCTTCTATTTTATGGACTATAAGAGAACATATTATTTGAACCATAAAGCATTTATTTTGGCTAAACAACACACATCATACTCCTGGCATGAGAGGGAAGATAACAATTTATTCAGTTTGTTTTTGGAAGACTGGAGAATGATATGAAATGGAAGCATATAACCAGTGAGGTTAGTGTGTGATGCGCGGGGAGAAACAATTCAGAATTTGGAGTCAGAAAAACTCACTGGTTAAAAAAAAGAAAATTTACTGTGTGTCCTTAGGAAACTTACCTAACCTCTCTGAGCTTCCATTTGCTCCTCCATAAAAATGGAATAATAATAAAACTCTACCTCACAAAGTTGTTGAGGGTTATTTGAAATAAAGTATGTGAGGAGGCTTTGTGCGTTTCAAAATGCAATACAATTTAGAATTGCTATTAATACTCAAGCCTCTAAAATCCTAGTCTGAGGTTCCTTACAAGAGCTTTCTTGCTTATTTATTTTAATAATGAGCGATTAAGGCCCAACTTTTTGAGACCAATGAGCATAAAGGTCAATGTCAGCAGAGGCTGTACATCAGTGACCCCAGAGCAGCCTGGGGACAACAGAGGCCCCAAGGCACTCTTTTGCATGGAGAGATTAGGGTTGGCCTGCCCCACTGTCTGTCTGGGTGGTTTGATGGCTGCTGGGAGAATGAGAGGACCTGTTGGTGGCCCTCTCAAGAGGGAGACCACTTGTCATCGCCACCAAGCTGGCAAAGGCCTTCATGAGCAGCTTTACTGGAGAGGGAAGTAGGAGGAGATCCCCCAGACAGTACAGTGAGCAGGTGAAATCCATACTATTCAGCGGAGCCCCAGAATTTGGCCCTTCCTTCCAAGTGTAGAATGTCCTGGTCTGGCCAGTGGCTTGCTGCCCTTTAGAGCTGTGTGGCCTACACATTTGGTCTGACATCTTTGCAGACTGGGCTTTGTCACCATCTCAGCTACTGCTCCTACTTGAGCCCCTCCTCTCCTGGGTCCCCTCAGCCCTGAGGATCAGATCCCTAGCCTTCGCTCCTCTCCAGACAGGCAGGCAAGCAGGAGGACTGGTTTGGGGACTCCTGTTTACATCTCTGTTTATCACTGTGTCTGGTTTGCCTCACCTGTATGTGGCAATGCCTGGCAGTGCCATGGGGGCCTCTCCACAGGCTTGAGGTGGGTTGAGGGGCCCAGATTAGGTAGCAGGGGGTGGGGACAATTACTGTGGTTCCAGAGTTATAGAGCTTGGCTTTCAGATGGTCTGGATTTTATTCCTCTGTTTCTTTGTCCCTCCCCTTTCACCCAGGTCTGCAGCCAAATCTCCTCCCCTTTCCACAGCAGCAAAGCAGTCTCCTCCTCCCACAGACCGGGTCTGGCCTAGCCTCCCAGGTAAACAACCACATTCTTCCTGCTTCCTCTAGGGATATCTTGTCTCAACAGAGCTCAGCCCACTGGTTTTCACCCAACCCATTTAACAGGGCACAAGGGGCAACCCAAGCTACAGCCAGGGAGACCGTTTACCCAGTAGCACAAGGGGAGCAGAATTAGAGCCCAGAGATCCCAACTCCCAGGCTAGTCTTTTCTGTACCACAGATGCTGAACCTGAGCCCTAAACAGGCCCCAGCATCATTCCTTTGAGAACCAGGGGTCAGCTAACTTCCCAGACATACCAAAGTGACCACCAGCTGTGCCTAGGTGCTATGGAGCTACAAGGGCAGGACTAGAATGCCATAGCCCTGATGTGTGTACCACAAAGTCAGTATCTCTTGACTCTGGGCCACTATTTCAGACCACCTCCTGCGGTGGAGATGTGTGTGGGTCCAGTGGGCTGAAGTCTGAGAGAAGGGCTGTTTGCAGAGCTGCCTTGGTTCCACATAGCACCTTTTTGGCAGGGTGTCTGACTTGGTGACAGAGATATGAATTATATATCTTAGCTGCCACCTCTCCCCAGATCTAGGTGACCCCATAGAGTAAACAACTTGCACAGTTGCATGAGATGGCTCTGCACAGGAGGATGTGCGGAATGGTTGGGAATGACTGCAGAGATCAGACTGTCTCTTCCACATATTAAGATCTTCATGGCTCACTAAGGGCCCTGGCTTTGGAGGCCTGGAGAAGCCAAAGAAAACACCTGGAAAGGGGAGGGCGCCATCTAGTGGTTAAAAGGAATAAGAACATCGGAGTCATGAGCCGCTTTTCACCTCCTGCTGGCTGCCCTCCCCAGAATCTCCAAATCATAGATTAAAGTTGGGAGAAATCTTAGAGAGTATTCAGTATCAATGCGCATATCTTACAATATTTGAGCAGTGTGAAACTGGTAGCAGAGAGATCACGTAAACAATTATTAAGATCATCCTGGGGAGGGGTAATGAGGGTTCCGCTTAGCGTGGTGGGAATAAGGATAAGGATGAATGAGGAGATTTTGGAAAGTTGAATCAATGCCATTTAGCTACTGATTGGATGTGAATGAGGGGAAGGAGAAGGTCTTGCAGAGAACTCAATAAGCATTTGTGAAATGAAGAACAAATAAATTCATGGAAGTTTCAAAGAGGACTAAAATTTTATTCTGAGGGTCTGGTCTATGGCATCTTCTCCCAGTAAAAGCAAGACTAAATGTGCAGTGGTTTCAAATCCTTCTGTTCTAAAAGACCCTTCACTAGGAAAAAGAGTCTTTCATATCTCTTTGGTCTTTTTACCATCTTTATCCTAAGGCTGCCTATCTGAATAGTAAACCTGCATATCTTGGAAGAGGGAAAAAGTAATATATGTATATTTTTGAGACAGAGTGTCACTATGTTGCCCTCGGTAGAGTGCCATGGCATCATAGCTCATAACAATCTCAAACTCTTGGGCTTGAGCTATTCTCTTGCCTCAGCCTCTCAAATAGCTGGGACTATAGGGGCCCACCACAATGCCCAGCTTTTTTTTTGTTGTTGTTGCCATTATTGTTTAGTAGGCCCAAGCCAGGCTCAAACCCACCAGCTCTGGAGCATGTGGCTGGCACCCTAACCACTGAGCTATGGATGCCGAGCTGAGAAAATTAATATTAATATTAACCCTAGTCTTGGAAAAGAGTAAACCAAGGAGGAGAAAAGAGGGTAAATTCAGCGCAAGTTATCCACATGGGCAGTAGCATCTGAGCTGGACATAGTACCTGGACTCTTAGGTCTGGATTCCACTCTGTGTAACAGTCAGTGTCCTTAAGATTGGAGTCATTCTTGATCCCACTGGGTACAACATGGTCCTAGGTTTAATGGTACATTTTCCTATGAAAATAAACTCAAGAAAGAATATTTTTCATCAACTACAGATGAGATCAAGGTTCATTTAGATAGCACAGATCTAAATACTTTTAACTAAAAATAAAACAAAGCACTTTCGTGAAGGAAAATGGTTTAGAAAGTAAAATGGCACCTGTAAGATTTTGAAATTTTATGGAAGCTCTGCTAACTTCTTGAATGTCCTCTGCTATTTTCAGTTAAGGCCTATTGGACATCTTAGTTACCTTACTTTGTGGAAAAGAACAGACAAAACAAACCACCTTTTGGTCCAATTCTGAGATTTGTTTTTGGAATCATTGTAAACAACCCTGCTCACTCCTTTTATGGTGGAAGCCTGAAAGGAGGAAGTAACCTGCTCAGAATCAAAGACTGAGTCATAGACTAAAACCCAGAAAGCCACCTCCCTATGGAGCTCCTCCTGTTTCTAGTCCAGATATCTTAGTTATTTACAATACCTTCACAGAAACTCCAACTTCCATGCCATTGAACAAATAGGACTCAGATGTATCTAGGGATCTGTCATCCTCTAAGTTGGTCTATTAGTAAAAAATATCAGAAAATGTCATTCAATCTGCTGCTCTTTG